CACACTATGTGTCTCGCTACAGTGGTGAGACACATAATTTGTCTCGCCCAGTCTGCCTCCCGACGATGTGTTTTTCGATAAGTTTATCAGCATTCGTTTGTTTCAGTGGCTTCCTAACTACTTTGAGGTTATCCTTAAACACTGTAAATCCATTTCTAACTGAAGATATGTTCCAATCACGGATTCCTATCCATAAACATGACATTCAAGCCTATAAATACCCCCCTTCATGCAATTATGGAGGGTACTAACAAACCTGCGAGTGAACTCACATTTTCCTGAGTAGAGCCATGATTTATAGAGTCCTTAGACGAGATCTTGGCGAATTCTTGTGCATAAAAAGGAGATTTCTAGAGATCTACAACTATTTCGCCTTTCTCTTAAGATCAAACTGTTGTTTTGATCTTGAGAACAATAGTAATCTCACATTGTTGAGGTTATTTACTTCTGTTATTGTTTCTTTAATGAAACAAGAACATTTAGCCTTCTTCACGATCAATCAGGTCTATGACTCGGTGGTCCATGGGCTAACGCGTCCCCGACATATGCAAATATCCCACGTAAGCAGCGAGCGACAAACGTTCTCTGCGTGTGTTTCTAGGAGATTTCTGATTGTTTATTTGTAAAAGAGAAGTCTTATAAAAAGGCTTATTCTTTTGTATCTGTTATAACTGATAAACGAGTTGTAATGGATTCTGCAAATAAATTAATTTCTAACGCAAACACATTGGTGACCACACTGGGAGCTAACAGCCTCTCTGTCGAGGCTGTCGTGTCGCAACCGAAAATCAAGATCCCGATTGATGTAGAGGTCGAGTAAGAGTTCAACCAGACTAAGTTTGAGGAGTATCTCTCCTCATCTTTATCAAGATCTTCCTCATCCCGTAAGTACAAGAAGATTTTGACATCAAAGAAGATGTTTCAGTCTTCAACTCCTACGAAGGCTATAGGTGATGGTTCTCACTCAATTGTTGCTCGCAACACCCCTCCGGCGTCCAATGAACCATGAATTTCTGCTCACAACAACTCATCTTAAGTCACGGAGTTATTTGTTGAAGGCTTGTTAGTTCTAACAAAGAAGGCTCGTTAGAGGCAATGCCAATGTCTTGCGTGATAATTCGTCAAAGCTTTGGAGCAGGTCAACGGACTCCATTATCACACAGACTTGGAGTCAAGAAAGCGTCAAGTCACACAGTCCCCTCAACAGAAGGAGATTATTGATACCTCCAAACATTTAGCCAACGAATGAGTCCGTGTCAAAAGGACTCGTTCAACTCACAAAGAACGTATCCGGAAATGCCGTACACTTCTTGCGCACGCACATATTCTTATGCAGAAAGCGCAGGAATTACAGAAAGAAGATGTGGCCAAAGTATTAGACCCTAGAAGGGGGGCGATTAGGGTCTTATGCTAATCTAATCTGATTTTATGCCAATTAAAATTAATTAACAAATATATTCTTGCAAGATAGATATACAAAGAGTTATGTGTAAGAACATGCAATATACACACTACAAGAAATCTGGTATTTAACGACCAAAATTAGTGAAGGGACCAGTTGACCGTCATTAATGTGTGTAAAATAACGACGATTTTAAAGCCTTTCATCGAGTTATCACAATTATTAGAGTAATGATGTGAGGTGGGATAACGGTTTTCTAATCCTCTCGTGGATTTTAGTTCTGATACCGTTGTTATTGAGCCTCCTAAAACACGAAGGGTCTATTACCATTCCTTAATCATAAGTCCTAATCCTAATCATAACAGCGCCACTACGCCAAAACAACCCACTATCAAAATTAATATAAAGAACCGAATCCCCAAAGAACCCACAAAAACCCGTAATTAAAAGTTCTGCTTACTAATCCCAGCGGTCGGCATACAATCGCCCTCGTCTCTTCCCTGTGTCAGCGCCCACCCCGCCCAGCGCCAGAGTTCCTGCTGCTGCCCGCGCGCATCCTGATGAGGCCAGAGCGGGGGTTCGATGGGATCAGATTCATCTGAAGAGGAAGCGAAGAACGGGAGAATCAGGCAGATGAATCTCGTCCTCTGACGATCACGATGACGATTCTGAGATTGATGATGAAATGGTCGAAGATTATCTCGCAGGGATTGGTGGGGAGCAGCGAGATACTGAAATCGGGATGGTTAGCAAAAAAGAGAATCTTGAAGCAGTAGTTTACTGGAATCTGAGAGCAGTTAGCGATGATGATGGGTGGTGGTGATGCATAAGTTAGGGGCAATTGTTAAATGATGAATGTTTCACAGGCTGGTAGATGGAACTGCTGAAGAAGAAAAGATTTGATTTATAGGAAGGGGAAGGCGTTAGATCAGCATCCGGCCAATGGGTGGATTTTTGGATTGTCGCGGTCAGCAATGGATGATTGATGTTTGAGAAAGGATCCTGAGAAATTTTTCAGGAGGAGAGAGAAGAAGAAGGTATGTTTCTCAGGTATCCAGATTGTGGCCTCATGAGGGAGCCATTACAGTGGCTTCAGGTAATATTAGTGTAATCTTTTTATGTTGATTGTAATAACTATCAGAAAAGCTTAAATTTGATCACTGAAAATAAAACTTGTGGCTATACGTGTAGGACATAATCCTGATATGTGAAGATATTAAGGCAAAGCTTTTCTCATTCACACCCGTTATATTATACCCCCTGTAGATTCAGTTTTGTTCCTTATAGATAAATAAGAAGTGAGATTGATAGGATTTTGAATGTACATTTATCTTTAAGCACCAACAACAATATGTTTATTAGTAAATTTTACAAGGATCTCATCGCACTTATATTTTTCATCCTATAAATAGTCCATTTTCTTTTTGCACATCCAGTGAGGAGGACTATATCTTTATGGAGGCGAGTATCGCGACCGCCGAAAGACGACATGCCATTTAGATTTATTTTATGATCAGTTGTAAGCTGATTGTGATTGGTTTTATTTATCTTCTCCATAGTGTTTATAGTATTCTCTTCTTTCACAAGATGAACTAATCATTCTTTTCTTTTTTAGTTTCCAATTCTTTGTTTTGGATAATTGCTCAATCATGTCTAGAAGGGAACCTTTGTGATATAAGTCCTTTCAACATCCGACTTAATTAAGTTACATTACTCTCGGTATATATCAGCCAGTAATTCTTCTCCTTTCCAATGTTGTTTGAGAGGCAGCTGCGTTTGCAACCGATGCATGTATGATTTTGAGGCAGTAGTGCGAGTTAGTTTCCTGATTACTTCAAACGCTCAGGTCTGATTGGAGGACATATTTCTCAATTCACATTTGATATTTTTTTGGGTAACTTTTTAGTCATATTTCCTTTTAAAATACCATTTAACTACATTTATATCTTAACTTTTTTGACTTGCTGCATTAGTTGAATACACACTAGAGTGTATGATTGCGTGTTATTATCCCTCATTCAAAGTACCCAAAATCAAACAAGGTTATTGCAGGCATGTATTTGCAGTCACATGGGCAGGTTTCATTCGGGTTGCTGCTTAGTTAATCGCTTATAAGCCAAATAGTGCGCCCTCATCCACTAAGCACGCCTAATCAATATATTAGCGAGTCTGGATGGAGCATTTATGTTCTAGCTTCCATATGGTTCCACCAGTCTGGTTATTTCTCCTTTTGCCCTCCCCATTCTAAGATTATCGGTCCTAGATTTATTGTGAGGATTAGTGCACTGTAAACTATATGCCATAGCCATATATAGTCACGACGTGTTTCTTCTATATTATCAACTACATTTGGCACTCTTACATTTTTGCCGAATATATACTTTATTATTCCTTGTACATAGCCATCTAACTGGAGGAAGAAAGAATACATTTCCATGATTTTATGTTGAATATCAACAGTTCGTTTATGATATAATACTTGTACACTTATTAATCTTTTACTGTCTAAGGATGATTATGTTAATCCCCCACGTTCTTAGTATTGATAATGAAACATGTATGCACTCCCTCTTGTTGCTGTAGATATAATTGGATTTTTAACAAAATAATGTTATTAGTAATTTTACAAGGATCCATGCACTATATATTTTCATCTATAAATATCATTTTTCTTTTTGCACATCCAGTGAGAGGACTATATCTTTATGGAGGAGTCGGGACCGGAAAGACGATGCATTTAGATTTATTTTATGATCAGTTGTAAGTGATTGTGATTGGTTTATTTATCTCTCATGTGTTTATAGTATTCTTCTTTCACGGGATACTAATCATTCTTTTCTTTTTTAGTTTCCAATTCTTGTTTGTATAATTGCTCAATATGTCTAGAAGGGAACATTTGTGATATAAGTGCTTTCAGACATCCGACTTAAATTAAGTTACATTACTCTCGGTAATATGTCAGCCAGTAACTTCTTCTCCTTTCAATTTGTTTGAGAGGAGCTGGTTTGCAACCGATGATGTATCTTTGAGGCAGTAGTGCGAGTTCAGTTTCCTGATTAATTTCAAACTCAGGTCTATTGGAGGCATATTTCTCAATTCACATTTGATATTTTTTTGTGGTACTTTTTAGTCATAGTTTTCTTTTTAAAATACCATTTAACTACATTTAATATCTTTAATTGTTTTGATTGCTGCATTAGTTGATACACACTAGTGATGATTGGTGTTATTTGATACCCTCATTCAAAGTACCCAAATCAAACAGAGGTTTTGCAGGACATGTATTTGAGTCACATGGGCAGGTTTCATTCGGGTTTGTGCTTGTTAATGGTATAAGACCAAATAGTGGCCCTCATCACTAGCAGCCTAATCAATATATTAGGACGTCTGGATGGACATGTTTATAGTTCCATATGGTTCACAGTCTGGTTTTTCTCCTTTTCGTTCTAAGAGTTATCGGTCCTAGATTTATTGTGAGGATTTGTGCACTGTAAACTATAATGAGCCATGCACATATATATGAACCTCACACGTGTTCTTCTATTTTATCACTACATTTGGACTCTTACATTTCATGGAATATATTACTTATTATTCCTTGTACATGCCATCTAACTGGAGGAAGAAAAGAATACATTTCCATGATTTTATGTTGAATGTCCACAGCCGTTTACAGGTATTAATGCTTTGTACTGTTAATCTTTTACTGTCTAGGATGAATTATGTTAACTCCCCCACTTCTTAGTTGATAATGAAACATGTATGCACTCCTCTTGTTGCTGTACTATAATTGATTTTTTTTTTTTTTTGTATGAGTGCAGATGCATAAAGGGGTTGCAAATCCACTTGAAGTTGTTGCAGGGGAAATATCAGATGAGTCTATTCTTTTATGTCTCGACGAATTCATGGTATGTTAGAAATTCAGGGGTAGGTCATTATGTCACTTTGTTATATTCTAGTTCTCCACTATTTCAATGTGGTTCTTCTTAGTAGTAATATGAAATTTTTAATTATAGGTGAATGATGTTGCTGATGCTTTGATATTAAATTGTCGCTTTGGACATCTTTTCAGCGAAGGAGTTGTATGTACTAAACTTTGCCTTCTAATCCTCTTAAATTGGTTCTTTGTGCGCATAGTTTATTATGTCTTATTCTTTAACTGGGAGATTTTCATCTGAGATGACTACTTTTTATTCAGGTTCTGGACTCCACTTCAAATCGTGCACCAGATAACCTTTATGAAGGTGGTCTACAGAGGGATCTATTTTTACAATTTATTGCAACCCTAAAGGTACTTACGAATTAAATATAGAATGAGGAATCTGTCATTTTCATACACAACACGACACATTTGTTTAAATGGAACCGATCAATGCAGGACAGGTGTATTGCTCATGCAATTGGTTCTTCCACTGATTACCGGAAAATGACTAATGTAAGTTTTTAAATGTTATTATATGAAGCTCCCAAAAATACTTTAAGCAACGTATGTTTATTACTCTCTGCAGGCTGAACAAGGTTTCTATCTTATTGGACATAAGTACTCTGGATTTCTTAAACAGAAGTTTCAGCAGATAATTGGGGAAGGAACTCCTTTTCCACAAGTTGTGGAAGTTGTTATGGGAAGACAACTGCAGGTTTCTAATTTTTTGATGTATAACTTTCATCTGTTAACAAAGTCCGACTTACATTTAGTAAAGAAAATTTATTAATTGATATTTCCTTTTATTCAGGTTCCGTTAGGGGCTAATGGATGTGCATATTTTCCCTTTGAGGAACTATGTGACAGACCTTTGTTGGCAGCAGATTATTTTGGTTTGTTTAGTAAGTCATTCATCTGACTTGTGATTGAACTTTTAAATTTCACTATAATGCTAATGAAGTATTTTTAATATATTTGTGTTGTGAATCTTAGTGTCATGATGAGAATAATATGATAGTTGCATACGAATGGAAAGATTGCCATTAATGTATATTAAAAATTTGTAGTCTACAATGACGGTATTATAAACCGTATTTTGTTCATCAACGAAGGGAAAACACTATCGTTGATGGATTACTAATTATTCATAATGAGGATTTTTACGACGGTATCCAACCGTCATTAATTGGTCTTCAACGACGGGGTTATCACCCGTTATTACACAATAACAACGGGCATACAAACCGTTTTATAAACCGTATTTTGTTCATCAACGAAGGGAAAGCACCATCGTTGATGGGTTACTAATTACCCATTATGAAGACTTTTACGACGGTATCCAACCGTCATTAATTAGTCTTCAACGATGGGAAAATATCCCCGTAACTAATGGTAACGACGGGAAAATATCCCCGTAACTAATGGTAACGACGGGAAAATATCCCCGTAACTAATGGTAACGACGGGAAAATATCCCGTCATTGATGGTAACGATGAGAGTAACGACGGGAAAATATCCCCGTGACTGATAGTAATGACGGTGATAATTACCGTCGTAAATATTAATGACGGTAATATGTTCCGTCGTTATAGACTCTATAACGACGGGTAGTATATCCCTTCGTGACCCTTTAGCGAAGAGGGCTTCAACGACGGGTGACGAAGGGATTTTTCCCCGTCGTTAGCATACAATAACGAAGGTTTTCAGTGCTTTAACGAAGGGAAATCCCTTCGTTAAAGATGTAATTTCTTGTAGTGACACAAGGTGATATATCCTAGCAAAGAGGTATACTATATGATATTTGTAAGGATATGCAAACACAAGGGTAACATAAACAAATGATATAGTGGATGAAATAAACAATGAGAGAAAGGCTATAAAGATGAACAAATATAAGTGTGCTAAGCCAAACTCAAACAAGCAATATGATCACGGAGTTCGGACCTTCCGTCCTACGTCTCCGCTCCCCACTCCCGTGGAGAAATCCACTATCACGATAGGGTTTTCTACGCTCACCCGAATAACGTTTACACCTCACACTCGGTTTTCTAGCTAACCAAAAACTTTACAATCACCACTCTTGCAATCCCACTCTACACCCTCACAAGTGTTGGACCTAACCGTGTCTCCCTCAAATGCTCGGTTACAACCTCTCCCTAGGTTCGTCAACTGACACCATTCCTCTTGGGATGATCCCTGACTCCCACCACACACTCCTCTCGGTGTACAAGTGTATTACAAAGTGATCCTCACAATAAGCACAAAATAACAAGTGATTGTTCTCCAATATGAATGAGAACACAATGAAAGCTCACACTCAAAGTTACAACTCTCACCAACCCAAATTTACTATGTATGAAAATACAATAAGCTCAAGTGGGTGTGTGTAAACAATTAAAATCTAGCACATAGAAATTATGAACAAAAGAATAAATAGCTAGAAATAGAGTTTAGAAATTCTTCTCTGAAAAACAAGATGGAGAGGTGGATTGAAATGAAGTTCAAACACTGTAAATGATCTTCTCCATTTGTAAAACAATCTTCAAACCAAATAGACTTTGAACCCAACTAAAAACCCTTGTTAAAACTCTTTTAAACTTCTTTAAAACTTTCCATTGTGTTACTGAGATAGAAGGGGGTTTTGGGGTTTATATAGGAAGAGGAAACAATAGCAAAAATCCAAACAAAAGACCAAAAGCCCCAGCCAACGGTAACAGGAAATAACCGTTGGAACAGATCTGACAGAGCGGCGGTCGATCGTGGTGATCGCCCGGGAGCAACAAAAAAATAAAAACCAGTTCTGGACAAGTGACGGTCGATCGCGGCGGTCGACCGCGAAAATCTCTGGACTTCTTACGGTCGACCGCCACCCCGCGCCCCCCCGCCACAGTCGACCGAGAGCCAATAAAACACGAAATGAGTTTCTGAACTCATGGCGATCGACCGTGGCGGTCGACAGCGAACATATACACAAGAAAACAGTTTTTACAAGCAGATTTTTGAGACTTTTAAAATATGTTAAAAATAACAAATAAAGTCCAAAAATACTAAAACTTTGGGAAATGTATATAAACATGTAAATGAACATGTTACAAAAGGAATTTTCCAAATTGTATTTCCCATTTGTAAAAAATCATCATTTTGCAAAATAGTCCAAAATACGAAAAGTAAACATATGAATTTTGACATTTAGGCTAAATTATGTTTTGAAACTTTGCACAATGATTATGTAGACTTAATAAAATATGTATAAACTGATATTGAAGTCTATAAACTAAGAATACAATATTTTTATAAATACAATAGAAAATAAAACATATGAGTATGTATATGAAAATATATTTGTTTCATATCTAAGTAGTTAAACCAAATCACAATAATAAATATGAAATATGTAATTTCATATTTATAAACATAAAAACCAAAACTTGTGTTGTATATATATATGACTACATATATATACAAGGAAACCAATAAAATATGTGTGTATATGATATTGAGCTTAACGTACTTAACACACATAATATAAACCTATACTAAATTACCCAAGCTTGATCTTGATCTTCATTGTAGCTCAACTTGGTAAACTTGGAT